TTCTTCAGGCAAATAAAGGAATACATTTTAAAAGGAATAATTTTTCCATATGTTCTTCGTTTTCTGTATTTGTTAGTGAGCCTTGAACTCATTTTGTACATATACATATATATATATATATATATATATATATATATATATATATATATATATACACACACACATATATATACTCATTGGGTGCAGTTTAGATGTTCTAAGAATTTGATCAGATTGATCAATTTAAGTGATAAGGGACAGGAAAAATTTGCTTAGAAGGAAAAGTGTACTGAACTGCTATATAATGTCAGTCCTCTTATATGGATGTGAATGCTGGACAATTCAGATGACGAGGAAACTTAAGGCAAACAGGGTAGGATTCTAAAGAAAGATATTGCGAATACTATGGATAGACCATGTAAGTAACGTGGAAGTTTTAAAGAAAATTGTAGCTGAAATAAATTTTACTTGGAATTGAAACAGCTGAAATTCCTGAGCTTTATAATAAGGAAAGAGGTCTCAGTGAATTTAACACTGAAAGACATATTGGAGAATTAGTTTACGTACGCATGTGTGCTTGAGGGATCAGATAGACAATGAAAAGAGAACTATCATATATCAGTCTTGTCTAGAATCTATACTCACATCTGGAAGTTTGCTTTAACCACTTCAACACAGACATATCTACACTGGCGCATGTCTATATACATAAAAGTATTTTAGGTTTCGGCGTATATCGATGTAAAATCTTTATCTTCTATACCGTATTTTAATGACGTGCAGATGAGATCGTGTCTATGAATGTGTCTTTTTTGTCTGTGTATTTATAGCTAACTTTAAAATGAGAACATCTTAAAAATATCTGATAGCTGATTCTTTAACGTTCACTGCACTTCAAAAAAATAACGCATCGCCTACAAACGTCGACACACTAAATTGGCACCCTCCCCAATTAATGTTTTTTTAATGACTCAGACGAAACATAGCTTGTTCTTCCTTAATTTTTTTCCCTTTAACAGCATCATCATTCTCTTAGTCTGTTGTATTTTTTTTTCTGTAAATAATCATCAATAATTCGCAGACTTTAAAAAACAAAATTAGACTGATCAAAAAATAAACAGTTTCGAAATTAAATATTTTTTCGTCGACAAACGAAAGAAAAATGTTCTTTTGTCAACAAAGGGTCTAACCTTTGATTTAAATTTCTCTTTTTTTCTTAATTTTTCTTTTTCTTTTCTTTTATATATATACATTTTTTTTGGGGGAGGGTAGAAAACAAAATTAAAAATCTCTCGAAACAAATGAAATTGATTGATAATATTTGACGTTTTCATCGTTTAATTTTTAACAATATTTAAAGAAAGAGAAATCGTTATTTAAATAGATTTTATATTTACAATGAGTTACGTTCAATATCACCTAATGAGAGAAACTCTGCTTGTTTTTTGTTTTTTTTTGTTTTTGAATACAACGTCTCTCCCGCACAAAATCGACCATGGCTCTCCACTGAATTTTTTTCTTTACTATCTACGAATTACCATGGCTTTTTAGTAATGATAGAGGAACGGCTTCGTCTCATCATCTCCACGTTTTAAATTTCAGTATTTTCTTTCTTTTAGACTGGTCGCCAGCCAAGATAGAGAGCCCGGTTTGAAATGTCATACAAACTAGATATTTTCATTCATTCAAGTAATTACATTATAACGAATACTTGGGAATACCAGGGGGCTGTAGCTTGGATGTGCGGATGGTGAAATTGATAACGACTCAAAATTGTTAATCGGAGAGCCGAGTTCCACTAGCAGTGCAGTTCGCTATCGTCAGTTATGCAAATACCCTTGGGAAAGGTATGAATTCCTTCATAACCTCCCATTCACATAGTTAATTCGTAGGAATTGGGAATTGTATCAGTAATTGATTTTTACCTGAAAAAAACTCTTATAATCTAAAAAGATTTTCTGGCTTTAGATAATTTTTCAAAAGGTTGATAAGCAAAAAAAAGATAAATCAATCAATCAAATTATAATGAAATAATGAACCCTGGACGAGAACCAATCTCTGAAATTTTGTCTCAGAAGCAATCTTTTTACGCAGTTGTGCATTTACTAGTCACTCACGTAATAGACGAATTTTAGGGAATTTTCGTCCTGGATAATTGTATGTCGCTCAAATACGTTCTGGTTATTTGTATGCATAATTCATATTTGATGTCCTTTTTCTACTTATCATTGAATTGGATTAGTGAATAGGCTTATACCTATTTGCATATGTTAAGAAAGAAGTGATATAAAGTGTAGAGTAAACTAAGAGATAGGTAAGAAATTGACTACTGGTCATGTGTCGTGGAACAATACAACAGTCTTTATCTCCCTAAACATTTCCAAATACTAAGTTTCCTTGTGGGGAAACAACTGTAACATTCCCATTCTGTAGAAAAAGAAAAGAAAAGGTAAGTAGGCACAGAAAGTATAGAAAAGAAGTGCATGACTAATTGGAGACAGAGATCCTGTTCAAAAATGTAGAAAACTTTGGGGATTTTCACCGTAGAAGTTGTTTCCATTTTACTTAAGTGTATTCCTGAAGCGATTCCTAAAATAAACATAGCCAAATCAGTAAATGCTTAATAATATAAACGTGACGGGATAACGTTGATTCGCATTCACAGTTCTTCTTCATCATCATGCCGTTTCCTTTCAGGACGTGGGTAATCATGGCTCTCCCCACCTTGTTCTCTGTATTTTGTTATCTCTCCTTATCTCGGTTCTATCAGCTTTTTAGGTATGTTATTTGCTATTTCCTCAAAATACGACTTAATACGACCTGTGAGTGACAGATTTACAGAAGCCCACTTTCCTCATTATGCGCTCTTAACTTTCAAGTGTCCTTTTGTCTCTACTTTCTCTAAACTTCACAATTGTTCACATGTTCAGTCCATGGTATTCTCAGCATTCTTCCGTAAAACCACATTTCTGTTGCCTCTTTATTTGTGATGCGTTTGCCAAGCATTCACTGCCATATAGGAGGATCGATATTATATAAGAGTTAAGAACATTTTTCTTCCTTTCTTGAGATTGTCCTGTTACTTAATAATTTTTGAGCTTATGACTTGAAACATCGGTTCTCATATAATCACCGAAGTTAAACAACGTTGAAACTGGTCAGTACCTAGATGGGTAACCGCTTTAAAATACCAGGTTATATAAGCTTGGATTTGCGGATAATATAATCAATAACGGCTTAGAATTATAATTCGAAGGACTGAGTTCCAATTCCAGTTGGGATCATTATATTCACTTACGTTGCAAGTAACTTTGGTAAAAAGTCTTCTCACCATAACTATGGATTAATAATGACTCGTATCAGTAAATCATTATTATTAAAAAAAAAAATTCTTAAAATGTAAAAATATTTTATGTCTTTAAATAACCTGTAAAGGTTGATAATTTTAAAAGCAAATCAAATTTTAATACTTAATAATACTTAAATCCTAATACCTCGTTAGTTAGCACGTCTTTCTTACCAGCTTGTAAGTGCACTTAGTCAGTTCTCGTATGTGCACTTACTACCTATATACTGCGACTTTAATATTAATTAAGTTTAGTCCTGTTTAATATTATCTATATTAAAAAAATACACTATTTACAATATTCAGAATATTGTCCTCATCTTTGTTGCCATATTTATCATAACGTTTCGGTCGTTGTAATTTCCGGCCTTCTTCAAGTGGTTAGAATGTCGAACTGAACCATTTATTTCGCTTGTTGGGATAGACTGTTCTATTTCTACGTGCCATGTCTAATGGATGTCAGGTTATCTCCTGTTAACTCCGTTCTGCAAGTTCTCTGCCTTAACCAAGATATTGTCACACTCTTTTGGGTCCTGTCACTGGATGTAACTAACGCCTTTATCCACTGTGTCCTTGAAATATAGACATATTTAAAAAATATCCAGAACTGCATGCATTGATTTTATCTGGGAAGTTACCATAGACCTTCCATCAACCTTAACATATTATGAATTGCATCTAATAAAAACACAGAACACTTCCGGTTTGTAGTCTTTTTCCCTGGTTTTCCTAAAAATTCTTCAGAGGTTCCGGTCGGAAGGTTCTCAACCAAACTCTGGTCATAATCAAGAATATTTGTTTTTGACAAATTCAGGAAAATAATTTCTCTATTAATATTTAAGGTGTTTAATGTTTGTAACTTTAATTTTTAAAATAAGCTTAAACTATGATAATGATCAATGAATGAAAGTTATTGTATTTTAAAATCTAGGATTTAAAGTTCTTGTATAAAAACCCCGGAAAGTAATGCGACACATGCGCAACAATTGTTTTAATTCGACTAATAGATCTTTCAATTATGAAAAAGTATTCAAAACAGGAATTTAGAAACACGAAATGATACTTTGATTTTATTTTAATGAAGACTGTTTTAAAATATTTAAAAGTACTTTAGATCCGTGTTCTTATAAATCAGCATTACAACATCGATAGTAGTTTCAGAAAGTCAGAAGGTCTAAGGAAAATAAAGAAGTAAATTTCTAAATATGGTTTGGTTTGCCAACCAGTCTAGGAGATGGAAAATTCTAGATTCAAAACTATACTTATGGCTAAATATTTCACATCGTAAACAAAACGCAAGAGAAACACCTACAACGGTGAATCTGTAGCCTCTGTATATACTTACAGGACTTGCTTGCATGAATAATAATAATAATAATAATAAGGGAAGGATAATTGTTGAAACTTAAATAAAGCATGGAATAATAATAATACAACTCAAAATGTACTTAAAAAATGTATTGACACAAGAACGTGTACACAATATTTACAAATAGTTTGGTATATTCTTGGGAAGACCGTTCCTGTAGAATGGGTTGACTTAATCGCAGTCGGGCAGAGTCTCTGGATTGGATCTCTTCTTCCTCCCCCGTCTTCCCGGTACCAACCATATTTATATGGTCGGTACTCCGCTATGTAAATTAGGTGGATCGTACCACAACAATAATGGACGAACTGTGATTGATAGATAGATAGATAGATAGATAGGAAGGAAGGAAGGAAAAAGATAGATAGGAAGGAAGGAAGGAAAATAGATAGATAGGAAGGAAAATAGATAGATAGGAAGGAAGGAAGGAAAATAGATAGGAAGGAAGGAAAATAGATAGATAGATAGGAAGGAAGGAAGGAAGGAAGGAAAATAGGAAGGAAAATAGATAGGAAGGAAGGAAGGAAAATAGATAGATAGGAAGGAAGGAAAATAGATAGATAGATAGGAAGGAAGGAAGGAAGGAAGGAAAATAGGAAGGAAAATAGATAGGAAGGAAGGAAGGAAAATAGATAGATAGATAGGAAGGAAGGAAAATAGATAGGAAGGAAAATAGATAGATAGGAAGGAAGGAAAATAGAGAGAAAGCGAAATAGATTGATTGATAGGAACAGGGATAGATAAATTGATAAATTGATAGGAATAGGAAAAAGTGAAAATGTTTCTGTTTTTAAAATGTAATTGTTTATGTATGTCCGCATATTGCAGTGGTTATCGACGTGCCGATTTCAAATTGTAGCTGATGCGGTTGCTTTCACTTTGGAAATGTATGAATCAATTTTTACTCCGCCACCCCAACTAGCGATTAGCAATAGAAAATACTAAGTGAGGTTAGTAACCATTCTAGAGCGAATAAAAAAATCGGTTGGTGTGAGGCTAGAACCTTCATCCTGAAAACAACAACAACAACAGCTAACGTTGTGAGGCTGGTCATATACTCCCATGGAAGTCTACAGCGTTAGTATACAACATAGTTTAACTACATTTATACTTACAGCGTAAAAAATAGTCCTGTTAAAGTGTCTTCTAAAGGACGAGAAAAAATTAACTACAAAAATCAATGACACATTCTATTTGCCTATAAGTACTGAAGACATTATATGTTTTAATTAATTCGTTTTTGATAAACGGTAAATATCCCTAGTGGTATAAAGCGTTATCGTGAATTCATTATAAGATGAGGCATTGTCAATGATTGTTAATTTTTGACGAATAAATCGCTGGAGGCTTGTCATTTATTTTTGACACATGCTGCTAAAGAAATAACGTCTGTCGAATTATGGCCAAAAAATGGTGATGAAAAGCAACAGGAATATGAGAAAATAAATACTAGAAATCAGAAATGGATAAAAGTTAATGCTTTTATTTTGGTTTTCAACTTTAATCTGCTGTTTTTTGTATAATTATACCTGAAAATAGATATGAGCATAGATAGATACACACACACACACACATATATATAAAGAGAGAAAGAAAGAGAGGGACACACACACACACACACACACACACACACACACACACACATATATATATATATATATATATATATATATATATATATAAAAGTGAACACTGAAGTCAGCACTCAGAGGCGACAGACTGTTTCATGCTAAACGCAATCGTCAAAGCAGCAATTGTTTCTAGCTACCCTGGTGATGATGATGATTGTATGTGTGTGTGTATGTGCATTAATCTAGAATTTATTTTTAGTGGAAACACATGTTTAGGTAGATGCCTTTTTTGTTTTTAAACAATGCGAATTGTGACCATCAGCCTGAGAGGTTATAATTGTTCCAACGAGAGAAAAGTGTACATTTTAAAGAGTAGAGGGAAGCCGCAAAGGATTTTGGTTAAAAATGGATTTTTTAAGTACATATACTTTATTTTCCATATTTTTGCTACTCGGGTTTCGGGTCTTGCAACCTTCTTCAGGTGAAGAGTAGTTATTTCCACATATTATTTAAAGGAATTAATTTTCCTTATGTTTTCTGATGTTTAACCATTTTCTTTTGGTTGTAGTATTAATCCAAATTTTCTTAGACTTGTAGAAAAATGTAACACTCTTCGCCTGATAAAGGTCGCAAGACCCGAAATACGTGTAGCAAAGATATGGAAATTAAGTATAATATATATTTAAAAAATCCACGTTAAAACCAAAAACGTTTGCGGCTTCTCTCTACTGTTTAATATGTCTACCCCTCTATCTATCTATCTATCTATATATATATATATATATATCTATATATACATACATATATATATATATATATATATATATATATATATATATATCAATGCGATGAGAACGAAAAAGTAATATATTCCAACGTTCACAGCATTAATAAAAAGAGGGCTCGATACAAATAGTAAAGCGATTATTGTTTAGTTATTATAATTTTATCATATAGACAAAACCATTTTACTCACTACAAAGGAAAAAAAAGGAAGTGACGTTTTACAAGCAGGATTGTTCATAACCATTTCGATTCTCACCCGTTCAAGTGCAGTTAAAATGCACTGAAACCAAGTTGCATCTTTGTAGTGAGTAAAAAATTGTTTTGTCTATATGATAAAATTATATATATATATATATATATATATATATGTGTGTGTGTGCGGTCAGATGCATGCTTCCTCAATGTTATTATTTACCACCGTTTGTTACACTTGTTATATCATACAACTTAGCTGGGTAAATAAATTATCAACTTCTGAACTCACTTTTGTACTGAACACCTTTGTCTTCATTTTCTTCATTATGGCTTTCTGTTTGTTTTTTTATTAATTCGTTTTCTACGGTTTATCAACCCTTTGCAGGTTATTTAAAGTCGAGAAATAATTTTAGATTGTAAGAATTTTTGATGGTAATATAATAATGATTTAATGATACAAAGCTGTGGGGAGAAAAGATGGATCTATACCTTTCGCAATGGTATTTGTGCATAAATGAATATAACGACTGAAGAATAACGAACCCAGCTGGAATTAGAAATCAGCTCTCCGATTAACAATTCCAAACTTACAGCACCTGGTATTCCCAAACGGTAACCCATCTAGGTACTGGCCAGGCTTGACGTTGCTTATCTTCAGCGATCGTACGGTAAGTGTTTGTTTCAACGTGGTGTACCCGTAAGCCTTCATTGCTATCTGTTACTGGTTCTTCAAAACACGCACACACACACACACACATACAATGTATGTATGTATGTGTGTGCGTGTAATCTTGGATTCAAATTTATAACATACACGCGCACACGGATAGACATTAATAAACTCTGATAGTGAAAAGAATCGTCCGAGATAAAATTTAAAAAAAAAAAAAAAAATGTCATAGAAAATTAACCTCTTAAAAAAGAGAGAAGTGAATAGTCTGGGATAAACAAAAAAAGAAAGAATCTGAGGTTAACAGAAAATGAAATAAAATAGATAGATCGATAGATACTGAGTAAAGTTAGTGATGTAAGCAATGAATTTTGCATTCCTCACACTATTTATGTAAATGCATAATTCCTTATTGAATGTACATAAGCGCGTTCACGGAATTAGATCTGTATTCTTTAAATTCTCGCATACAATCGCAAAAATTCGAATATATTTATATCGTTGATTAATCAGATGGAAGGTTTTCACGACTTTTGATCTTATCTGTTCATTGTATTCGCGATATAGTTTGTTTTTATGCTAAAGAAAAAAAAAGGCAAAAATTTAAATTGGTCTAGTATCGGTACCTTTATTTAAAACCGACAAAAATCATTAAAATACATTATATATATATATATATATATATAAAACATGAATTCAGCAAAGCTTCGTAAAAATCGTTTTGAAAATATGCGGATGACTCAAGGGAAGTAACCGCGTTATGATTTAAGCTTATTTAAGTCGAATAAAGGTACAGAACTCATGTAAGACTTTTTAAATAAAATTTTGTGTGTCAGCTTTTGTTTTTGTGTTTATTTTTATTTTTTGTAATGATGTTCATGCGAAAAAAATCGATCCGTTTTTACGGTTTGTAGAATTTCTTAAATCAGTTATTTAGATATGTAGTCATACATAGTAATACCATTATGCAAAATTCTCCCTCAAATCAAAAAGTAATCCAAAAGAAACAGTAGTTTCCGATTCATTTCTTAGCGGAGAATTTTTATAAACCTGAGATTAAAAATGCTGTTTTATTCACGCGTGCTATTGTCTAAGTTTGAAACATTCGTTACTGGTAATAGTAATGAATGAAAATAGAATATTAGATGAGCTAATAATCCACAGGGTAGTATACTATTAATTTCAATCAAATTATGATTTTATAAATTAAAGTTGAAAATTTCGTGTGAATTTGAGACGAAAAAAAAATGATTACACTTATATTGCGGAGGAAGATCCGAGTTAGTTATAATTAATAGTTTTCACTTAAGGTGTTATTACGTAATGTAATGTTTTCTTTCTCCTGCAAATGCAACACTTATATGAATAATCCAAGAGGTTAAGTTTCAATATCAGTTTGGTGAAATTTACTTTAAAATGTTTCGATTTAACGAATAAATTTCTTAACAACTAAATATTGTCTGTAATGGTATATGTGGAATAAAGTTGCAGAAAAAATTATTTTAGAAACAAAGTATTGGCCATTATAAACTTTCTCTTTTTCAATGTGAATATTTTTCTTCCTGGAATACGTGTAGGTAAGACCTTCATCAATCTCACATGAAAAAGAGAGACGTCGACAAGAGTAGATTTTTCTCTTTAAAGCATACGTTCATTAATGCTTGAAAAAATAATCATAGTGGTTTTACAACGAAAAAGAACGATTTTAATACTGATTCTGAACATTAAGTGAGGAGAGATGGATTTATAATATTCTAAGTCTATTTCCGCGAAAGTGGCTTGCATTTGCCTAGGCCGGAACTTGAACTCAAGCTTCAGTCCCTCTTTCCACCCATATATTAGCTACGCGCAGCTAATATACGTATCGACCTTATATATTCACATGTAAAATTAAGCTTTAAAAATTTAAGCTCTCTGGCAGGATAAAAAGATACAGGAATAGAGTTGTTCATTGCAAAACTTATCCTAGTGTCGACGGGAAAAGCGACCTGTTGTATGTAAACGAAGAATGAAACTACGGAAAATGAAGAAGACTAACGAAAGACCCAAATTGACATACAGCAAAATCCTGAACGACCCGGAACTGG